ACCACATTTGTATGTGACTTGGTGACGAGCAGTCACCCCCCAACAGCCAGTGGGAGATGCGGATTTATTATTATTTTTATTTGTATTTTTTGTGGATGTTCACAGAGAAGCCCGAATGGTATCGGTGGGGAGGGAGATACCCTTGCTATTTCAGCATAGCTTCTAAACTTATTTGCAGCTTTTTTACTAGCGGCCAGCTCAACGGCAGCCAATTACGGGCGAGATCTTGGTAATAAACTCTAAAGTTTTCCTATTTATATTTTCGGGCATAATATGATCAAATTAAATAAAATAGACCGAAAGCAAAGAATCTCGACTAGAAACTCAATGGGTCGTGGATTCGAATCTCAAGCACGATAGAGTTTTTAAATAAAGCCGATAGCCTTAGTTGCTAGTGCTTGAAGACTCTAGTCTTAGAATTTATTTGGATAATGGATAAACAAAACAGATATTTTTCATTTTTATTCGATCCGAGCGGAAAACGTGTTTAAATTCACAAAATGGGCGGGAAACTTGGCAAGATTGATCCATAGGTGCGCCTACCATTATTAATGTGCGATGAGGCCTTATAGTAAGGCTTCAGTTAGTTCAGTTTAGGTGACCACTTGCACAACAATACTCTTTCACTTGCAAAGTAAATTGCAATTCAACCTTAAAGAAAAGCAGAATAATTTAAACAAAGCCTACGATCCGTGCAGCGACTCTAGGGTTCCAGCGAGACTAACCCTTGTTCGGCAACGGCAACAACCTTTCGGACCATCATCAATCATGGATTTGAAGCAGGCAACAACCCCTTTGCTGTGAACTGGAACCGCCGAAGGAAACAGTTACCGCCGCAGACTCTACACCGGCACCAACAGTATCAGGTATCCTAGTTCATTTAATTCCTTTTTTTTGTCTCCGATGTGTGGCTGAGCGTGAGCTGCCACCGCTGTGGCTGAGATGAAGGGGATGTGCATATGATGGCACCGTAGGGAGGACTCCAGACGGTTACCGACGGACACTCGGTGGACAGACGGACGATAGACAACCGACGAGACCTTTTAATTTTTTTGTTGTATTCTTTGTCATGAGGCTCAGGGAGCCAAACCCCTTTCAATAAATACGCTCTACCGGCAACAAAGGGGCTAGTACCGTGACAAAGTGGCTTCGCTTGCAATTGAAGAATAACCTTAGTGCAGGATGATAGGGATTCTTTGGGAAATATAACAAAAAAAAAAAAAGAAAGAAAAATGATTAATGAATAATAATTTTTTTTTTTGAGAAACAAAATTTTACGGGTAATCAATACGAATAAATTATTTGGTTCGCTTTCAATTAGTTAAAATCGAGCTTTTATTTGCAGTCAATTTGATGCAAGTGTTTTCTTATAACTTTTACAGCGAAAGTGTCGAAATGATTTTTGTCTAATTATTTGAAGGGAAGGATGCAAAATTTATTGATTTAATAAATTTGTAGCTTTTAGCATATTTTGTTAACAAACTTCTATATGTGTATGTAAATGCAATCGAACGCATTAAAGATCAAATCAAAAGCATTCAATTACAATAACAATAATTTAATTCCGAATACTGCTAAATGCTGCGAAATTCAACGCGCCAGTTTATCAGGATTCTGTGTCACGCATACACAACGGAGACATGTACGAATGGTTTTATATACAAGTAACAATAAATTAACAACTTACTCATGTGAAAAATCGTTTAATTGCACTTAATGACTGACTAATGTATGTATGTATGTATGTATGTATATACGAAATAAAAAATCAGTAAAATTTAAACATGATGCATAGATACTGCGAGCGCTGAGAGAAACGTTACATATAATACAACAGAATATTAGAGAATCGAATATTTTTGTCTTGATATACCTGTGTATGTGTAGAGTTTCCATTTTTATCGAAATGATTTAAATCTCATCTTTAATGATTGAATTAAAGATTGCTTGAGATTGTTTGAAGATCCCGTCGTAATCTAATATCTCTTTGATTGAATGCCCTGCTGATTGAAAAGATTTTCAAGGCTTTTCAAATGATTTCTTGTTCGTTTTTTTTTTTTTTTTTTGCGTTAATCAGATGGAGAATATCTAGTACGTGAGTACTGCAAATTCATATGACGATTACATTTTGCTTTTATCAAAGTGATATAACGTTGTATAGAGCATTGTTGATATTTATGGTTCACTAGCAATAATCACTTTAGCATAATATTGAACATATTATTGCTTTATTTTAATATTTGATGGCTTCGCGTTGCTATGCGTGTATATATGCTGTAATATCTTTGAGCTGATCAAAATATTCCTTTATAAATTTAATTGACAAACATAAAATGGTTAATTACATTTTTTTTCCATTTATATACATGTATATGTGCAGTTTATATAATTCATACAATGTATCCATTTATATATAGATATATATATACTGTATATACTATAGCATATCAATTTGATTGCACTTTTTTGTTTATCTGTTTAAGTGCGAGAGACATATTAATTTGAACACTTGACTTGCGTCACTCAGACAGTAACAAGCAATTTAAGCTCACTCAAAGCGTATGCATACAAATATAATCATTCTTGGAAGAGAGCTATTAGTTATATGACTTAATTATTGTGAAAGATTTCAAAACCAAATTTAAAATCTTTTTTAATATCTAAGACAATCAGACTTGTGTTCACTTGAATTTACGAGTTTTATTTAACACCTATCGAATCGATAATCCATTAAGGCTTAAATATGCGTAACTTGTCAGCTTTCTATCTGAGCTTTAGGAGAGTAATGACAAATCTCGTACATCTGGGAAAGAAGTTGCTTTCAGTGGCGGCATCGCTTACTTATACCGTGATAGGCCCTTTGTTATATTGGATTATATCCGGATTATGGAAGAATCTGCTTCTAAGGTTCCATGTCACCAAATAAATTGAATGGATTGTTTCGATCTTCGTCATAGCGTTAGATCTATTATAAGTCGTGGTAAAGGTTACTTATTCATTAACAAGTGGATAGACGGGTTGGTAGAGCATTTTGAGAACGTATACCGGAATGTGCATTAGTCATTCATTCGCTGAGAAAATAAGAACATCTTGGAAATATGCTTCGAATACCGTTCTAAGGCAACCGACTGACTGACTGACTGACTGGCTGATTGCCTGACTGGCTGACATACTGACTGACTGAGTGACAGACAGAATGGCTGGCAGACTGACTAACAGAGAAACAGACTGACTGAGAGACAAACAAACTGACTGACTGACTGACTGGCTGATTGCCTGATGGACTGACATACTGCCTGACTGTCTGACTGCCTGACTGACTGACTGGCTGACAAGTAGACTGACTGACTGACTGACAGAATGGCTGGCAGACTGACTAACAGACATAAGACGGACTGACAGACTGACTGACTGATAGACTGGCTGACAAATAGACTGACTGACTGACTGACTGACTGACTGACAGAGAGGCTGACTGACTGACAGACTGAGAGGCTGACTGACTGACTGACAGACTGACAGACAGGCTCACTGACAGACAAACAGACTGAGAGCATTGTTAGAATAGAACGGAACTAGCAACGATGTTTCAGCTGAAGTTCATCAAATGTTACTTACTGCTCAAATCCCTACTGGACGATTTAAAAGAGTATAGCTTCTCATTGATAAGCTAAGGATTGGGCGGTCAAAGTATTCATCTTTTTTCTTATTTTTTCAATTCCTTTTTTATAACCATTTAATCTTGCCCCTCGGCCACTTATCCTTTTTTACTTTATATGTTCATATGCAATATTTGTTAAATAAATAAAAAACTTATCGCTTATACTTATTGCTCGAGATGGTCTCTCTTCTTAGTTTTTCTACCCTGCATTACTTTTGGTAAAAGGGTGTATTAAGTTTGTACGGATATATACACCACCCACAAGCATTAGATTCACCTTTTATTGTACCGATCAAATCAGAATGACTTTTTGAATCAATCTTAACCTGTGTGCCCGTTTGCCCATCTTGCATTCTTGTATTCAATCTATACACTTCGCACTTTTTTATATATTTTGTCATCTGCGGTACACTAATGTATTTTCGCGCAAAGACCAATGTTGTCCAAAATGTTTCGAGCACTTCCTCTGTAAAGCATTAGTTTGAAGAATCGTTATATGAACAACTAGGTTAAGTGAAGTGATGTAGAGCATGTTTCTACTTGTTTA